CTAATGTCAGGATGTCCCCCTCCCCCCTGCTTACCCCATTTCCAAAGAGCAGGGGACACACATGACAGGACTCAGGATGGAAGGAGCTTGCTGGCAGGAGCTGCTGTCTCAACTTGCTGATCTATTTAAAAAGGCAATGTACTTAGAGTGGGGTCAGCGTACTTCAAGGGGCAATGCGCATCTCTCTCTCAACGGGTGTGTGTCTCTGACATGCTGTCTCCCCTCCCTCCATTCGTGCTGCCTTGTAGAGTGTGAGGCTACATTAACAACAATGTGTTAACCCTTGAGGGCTCAGCCAAGTGCTAGTTCATCATTTAGCAGTAAGGCATTCTCTGGGAAATATCCCACCCTCTGACTTCACCACCTCAACCAAGCTTCACAATCATCATCCCTGTGTACCAGTATTAAATTGTTTGTTTAAAACTTATACTGTGTGTGTGTGTGTGTGTGTGTGTGTGTTGTATGTATATAATATAGTCTTTTTTGTCTGGTGAAAAAAATTCCCCTGGAACCTAACCCCTCCTATTTACATTAATTCTTATAGGGAAACTGGATTCGCCCAGAAGAAATGAGAGCTCTCCAGTAGCATCCACAGCTGCCTCTGTTCTAGTCCTGCAATGTACTGAAATAATGGACTTTAAATCTGTGACAAAAGGTTTTAGGCCAATTTTAGAGTCCTTTTTGGCTCCCTCTGAGTCCTGAACAGTTGGACTCTTCTGACTTGACCTTTAGAAGTGCAGAATACCCAGTGAATTCAAAGGGAGCTGCAGGTCTCAGCATCTGTGAAAATCAGGCCAACCTTTACAGGCAGCGGGATATGGCAAATAGTTCTAAAAAACATTTTTTTTTTAAAAATCTATAAAATGTTAATGGCTGTAAGATAACAAGAGCTAACTCCCAACGCACATTAGAGGGTAGCTAAGAATGCTGAATTCTCCATGGCAAAAACAAGGCACACAAATGTTGGCCTCCTTATAGATAGTGGGGCCTGTTCTTGTCTTGGATGAGAGACTCCAGTGATAGGGCCCATGAAGCAACTATAGAGTGGAGACGTCCCAGGACTCAGAGTCTCTGTATAAAGGAGAGGTTGTGGGGTTGGTGGTTACCAGATCCATACAGGTTCTGCAGATGGGACTCAGATGTTTCTGAGGAGGGCAAGATCAGCCAGTCCTCTGTCCTGGTAAGGGTCTCTTCTCTCTTGTGGTCTGCTTCTTCCTTCCTCTGCTCCTTGTGTAGCCGTTTACACCTGTGCATTGAGAGTGTCAAATGCTACCAAATCAGGATGACATTTTATACCCACTTTGCCTAGATGTCTGTGAAAGGGAAAGGCAATGGGGAATCAAACTTTTGGTTTCTATCCTGGCTTCCTCCTCCTGCACCCCCCTAAACCCCACCCTGTAACCCTCACAGGCCATAAGCACAGAGCCTTTGGTCCTTGTGTTAGCAGCAGGGACTGGAACTTGCAGAAGATAAGCTGAGTGCTCTGGTCAAGCCCTGTTCCCCTTGAAGCCCTCATATTGACATTTCCAAGCTCCTTAGCTGACTCGCCTCAGCCTTTTTCTCTTCTGGGCTTTTGATTAATTTTTGGTGACCTTCCCTAGCCTCCACTGGCTACTTTCTGAAGAAGAAGGCTTTTTTATTGGTATGGCAAGTGGAGTTCAAACCCTGTCTCTAATCAGAAGTCCTTGGAGCAGTTTTTGTTCTTGAAAGTGGAACAGTATTTACATGTGCCTCTTGGCTCTACAGAGAAATACTGGCTTGGTTCACAAACAAACTAAAAATCCCCAAGGGGTTACATATTGGATAGGCCATAATTGCTTTACAGTAGGACAGAGTTAACTTCTTGCTTAGCCTCCTCTTGTCCAGGGTGAAATAAAAAGGCAGGCTGGGAATAGAAGGTCCAGTCAGGTTATCAAAGGGAGTACAAGAAACTCTGCAAGTCGTTTACTCAGTGTAACAGTAGCCAATGGAGTCAGTGGACACTTACCCCTGCCATGTGTCTTTTGTGACCTTGAGCCATGTCATGTGGCTTGGTCCAGGAAATAAACGTCGGACTCCTACCAGCATACCAAACCTTTACGAAGCAGTCAAATGGGTTAACAGAAAAGTCCATATAAATAGCAAATAACTTGATGGTGAAAAGCTCTGGCGTGTTGAAGGGATCCGTAGTTGGATTGTTAGAGTATCGGAACATACCTCCCAAGGCTTCATTACGCTTAGTGTTTCAGAGACTCGCGGGCAGAAGGACAAAAACCTTAGTGCCAATATCCAACAAGCTTCTTGAGCCAAAGATAATTAAACCTGAAGGAGTCACAAATGACCTAGACACTAGGAAAGAAGAAAAGCTCCATCAAGAATGCCAACCATACCAAGTGGGAGAGAATGTTAGATTTCAAACAGAAAGTGGCTGGCTTCTATACCATCTGTATCAAAGCCATGTATCGTAACCAAGCACAAGGGACAGTTCTACAGAGCAGAAATCAAAACCCATGAGGTTTTCTGTTTTTGTTTGTTTGTTTGTTTTGTTTTTGTTTTGTTTTTAGAGCATCAAAAATGTTATTGACAATGCGTCTGTCCTGGCAAAATCAACACAAACCCACCCGGTCGCTGACAATGAAAAACATAAGGAGCAACAAATATATGCTCCAAGTGGCACATCCACTTCAGCGGCAGAACAGGCCACTCCAGAAGACAATGTTTTGAGAACAAGCAGTGGCCATGTGATCAGAGCGCAACTGAGGTTGAGATTATTGACAAGTGTTCAATAAGAAGGTGGAATAATCTCCTTTACTATAGAAGGCTTCTGGTTGTCCATCTTGACCTCCATTGTACACTGTTTGCAGTATTGTCAACCTCAATGTTCAACAATCTTGAGGCAGGCCTCCCAAAATCATGAGATTTGCTTAAAAATTAAGAGATTAAAAAATAAATGTTGAGGGGTGTCTTTTTTACTAATCTTTTGTGTACACTTGTGTACAGTTGAGATTCTTTTGCAGTCAATTGACTTTAGGGGCTGGGGCTTTAAGTAACTCATCAAATACTGTAAGACTAGTGATAAAAGCTCAGAAGCTGGCAACACTGTGTTTTGCCTCTGTTTATTACTAACGGTCTGTATTAATTTTTGACCTTCTCTCAGTTTCTTTTTGAAAACGTAAGAGTAGCCAGTGCAATTAGTGGACATTGGCCTCTGCCGTATGACTGACATGTTAACATTTGATAACTTTGACCCCTATCATGTGACTGGGGTCAGGAAATAAATATCAGCTTCTTATCAGCCCACTGAGAAGATAGTACTCATTTCCTAGTAGTTGCACATCTTGTTTCTGACCCAGGCTGAGGTTCTTCTGTTTCCTGGTTATGTAAAACTGTTTTGTTTCTGTTTCCCTTGATGAAGAAACTTTGTCTGAAAAGGTGGTTGTGGACTTTTTGTTTTCTGTCGTTTTGTTTGTTTGCTGACCCAGCTCCATCAGAATTGTTTCTAAATGAAATGTTTGTCAAGTTTCCCATAAGGCATCAGTGACTCAAGCCAGAATTCAATTTTGTGTGGGCAAAAATTGCTACATAGTGTTCAAACTGTAGGTAACAGTGGGCCCATTTGACCACAGTGGCATAAAATGAGAAGCCATAATTGAAAATGTGGGTAATAGTTAATAGCAATATTCTTGCTAGATGAAGAATAAAAAAGAGATAGTAAAACGATACTGGCTTTGTTAGCTACTGAGCTAGAAGAGCTATGGGTAGAACTGGTCAAAAAGTGGAATTTTCCTCCTGATATTAAAAAAATAAATAAATTTACATCCTGATTTTGGATGAAAAGTTGATATATCAAAATTTTTCACAGAACAGAAATCCCCCCATCCCCAAAAATCAATTTCAAAATGTTTGAAATATTTTGTTTTGACATTTTTCAATCAAAATGAAACATTTTGACATTCCTGAATCCAAATGTTTCATTTCAGTTTGTCGAACCAAGTCAAAACATTTAATATTGGGTCAATTAGACATTGTCCTCCAAGCTCCCATGGTGCCTCAAGACTCCATTGTCTTCTATGGACCCAGCTCCCTGGCTGGACTACATCTCCTAAAATGCACCATGATCATAGAACACCCAGGATGCACTTTGGTGGTTCAATCAGAGGGGACACCACAATGGATCATGAGAGGTGAAGTCCAAACAGGGATCCAAGCCCATAGTGGAAAACTGGAACATGAGGTACCTGAACTTCAGCTCCCAGGAGGCACTGTGGGAGCTCCGGGGAACATAAATTAATGTTGAACTGACCTGAAATTTAATGTTTCAGTTGACTCAGTAAACCAGAATACTTTGATTCAGGCCAGCCTGAGCTGAAATGAAATATTTTGCTTAGATTTCAATGGAAAATTTCTGAGCAGCTCTAGTTACGGATATAGGCTTATCACCTACCCTCCCCATCAGTATGATGTGGCACAGTTGTACTAGTTATAATCCATTACCTGCTCAGCCAGCCAGTTAGTTACCCAGAGTTTCCCCAGTGTTCTGAAGCACTCTTATTGTAATGAATGAAATTATTTTGCAGCTCACAGGATTTTGATTACCATTCAGGCTGGAAGTTGGTTTTCCTGCTTAAAAGAGGGAAAGTAACTATCATCTGCTAGTCACAATAACATAATCTATAGGCCTAATTTACCATTCCAGCTAGATACTGGTCTAACTCCATTGATTGCAATGGAGTTATGTTGGTGTAAAACTGGAGTAATGGGGCGATGAATCATTCCCTATATTTTTAATGCAGAAAATAATTATATACAAATTAAATTGGAATGAGTTACAAAATGAACCTATTCCATTAGGGCACATCTGAAGACATAGGGTGTCCTCTTGTTTACAGTACAACTGCCAAAACCACAGTACTTGGCCTCCAAAGTCATTTTCCCATGCAAGGCGTGAGATATCATTTATATACTAGCAACCCCTGATAGGTTATAATAACATATACATGTGGCAAAGTGCTGGGATTTTGAGGACGCTACAGTGCCAGCTATAAAACAGCCCAAAGATGGTGAAGTCTGTGAAACCTTTACAATGCAGTTTATAATAGTTGTTTCAATGCAACTGGTGTGAAGGAAGGTGAGGAAGGATATAGCCTGAAACTTTGGAAGATCTTAAATATCTTTCTCGAAAATGTATATATTGATGTGGCTTCCATGGGCTTGGGAAAGTGAAGGAAAAGCACCAGACTTGGCAAAGCCCAGCATACAGGTTTGATTCCCAGTACACACAAACTGGCTTCAGACAGTGCCCAATTTTCAGGCCAGGTTGTTTGTCTGGGCCTCTCTGTTTTGTTCTGCCCACACTCTGGAATCATCATGAGTCTGAGAAGCCAAGGCAAACATAATGTTCATTTTTCACTGGGTTATGCTTGGCTGACATTTCCTGAAGGGAAGAGCTTGGGAATAAAAAAATAAAAAACCTTGATATTTATGGGGCATAATAATAATAATAATAAAAATAAAATCTCATTAGAGGGTAATTCAAATTTCCCCCTTGGTTCGGAGTAGCTATTGGGAGAAGTCGGCATTTTGTACTGAAAGAAGGGATTCGTTTTCTAAATGTCAGGCAGAGCATAGGTTTTTCCACAATATTATTTTGGTAACAATTCTAATATTTACTTCCATATCTAAAAGTCTCACTATGGAGCACAGAACTCCCCCTTGCATGGCTCCTCCAGGGCATAAACAATCTACTGTTGCTTCACTCTGCCCTTCAGGGAAACCCATTTTAAATGGCTACTTCAAAACATGTAGCATTCGGACTTCCATATCGAGCCACGTGCCATTGGGCCCTATTCCAGCACCCACTAAAGTCAACAGAAAGATTCCCACTGACTTCAATGGGCATTGGATCTGGGCCTTGGAGAAAATGACTGCGCTGGTATGTTATTCATTCAAATACGAATACACTTTAATACAGACAATATGGCATCTACAGTCCATGGTGATCCAGTCATTAAAATTACTTTAGACTAAAAAGAATGTAACTTTAAGAAAGCTTCATGAGATACCCGTACATTCGTATTTTTAAACACAGTAGATGCAGAGGCACATCTGGAAAAAAGTATATGGTCTGTTATCAAGACCTACCTAGATCAAACCTGGGGTGCTGTATACCCATCAACCTACATCTCTTCAGTTGTTGTTCCTCTGTGAGGGAGAGGAGCCCTAGATGCAGCCAGATGATATATCCATGGATATTTCCAGCTATGGGGTCTCTCTGAGAGTCTGGCACAAAAAAATGACCTAGACAGTACTATGGGAGGTTTAAGCCTAGCTAAAATGGCCTGCCTAGATCTCCCTGAGACTTAATTGATTTGATAAATCCAGAAAGGCCAGAGGGGTGAGGGATGCACAATGGCAGGCAACTGACCAAACATAGTCTAAAAACCCAACAGCATCATCTTAAAGTCCATATGCCTTTTTATAGGCTGCTGATGTAAAGGTGGGTGTGAGCTGGTGTTAAGATAGATTGAAACAGGAGGCGGAGTTCTCATTGCATCCGCCAAGGAAGAGGGAGCACTGTGGGGATGTGCTGCATCCCTAAGCCAGGGAAAGGAGGGGGAATTGCACTCCTTCTTCTGACCCCAGAGTGCCATATACTTATTGATGCTCAAGCCAGTGAGTAAATGTGCTGCTTCCTTCTGAACAATCTGTGAGCAATAGGAGGATCTCAACTGACAGCTCCGCTCAGAGGGGATTCTGTAACCAAGCCTTATGGTCATGAGGGCATGTGTTTCAAGAGTGCTGTGGAATGGATAAGCAGATGGCCAGCACAAACTGTGACTGGAAGAGCCTTTGGACCACATCCAACATGTGACTCTTTATGGAAAGAGCGTGTCAAGAGTGTGTCTCGGATTCTTATCTTATGAGTCTCCTCTATAAGCAAAGACATGAAGTGGGAGAGAGCTTCTTTCTAAGGAGACTTTTACCCGACACCAAACACTCCTGCTTTGCCTCAGGATCCATTTAGTGATCAACATCAATCAGGCGATGCCTCCACAACAGGGATGTAAGCTACACAGTTGTGTCTCACCAACATCCTGGTGCTGCTCTAGGCCATAATTACCAGTGGTCCTACTTCACATGGCTATTGAACAACACTTGGCAGAACTCTGCATGGTAATTCTTAAGTACGCTGTGTGGAGGAGCAGTGAGTATGTAGTTCCATGGTATTACCCCAATAGGTCCTTCGCTGCTATCATGTAGGTTAAGAGCTCTAGGCTTAGTTGATGTTTGTTCCCTACCTTACACAAAAGCATTTGAACAGCCTGAGGTTTAGAAACAGGGTAGACATTGGATATGTCTACACAGTGAACGGCAGCTTCAAGCAGTGAATCTCAGAGCCTGGGTCAACAGACCTGGGCTTGCAGGCCTCATGCTATGGCACTAATAATGGCTGTGTAGACATTGGGGTTTGGGCTCTGAAGCCCACTTCCTTCCCTAGGCTTCGGAGCCTGAGCTCCAGCCCGAGCCACAACATCTACACTGCTGTTTTTAGTGCCGTAGCGTGAGTCTGAGTCTGCTGACCGGGCTCTGAGACTCGCTGCTGGGGGCTGTGTAGACAAACCCTCAGAAGATGGTTTATAATCCATGACCATTGTATTCCAATGGAAACCATGGCTATAATTTTCAGCAGCGATTTCTGATTCTGGGAGCCTTTTTTTCTTTTTGGTGCTCTCCATAGGGAAACCTGTTTTTTGAGAAAGTACTGAGCACCCACACTTGGAAGATCAAGCCCCTTTGAGGTGTCTCAAGCTGGGCACCTAAAAATTGAGAGATCAAATATCACTAGCTACCTGAGCCATCTCTCTGACATTTCAAATGAAAAATCCAGCTATTAACATTTAAACAAATTCTGTTCCTCTCATAGTATAATGGGGGCTATGTTTTTAATGATCGGTGGGATTGCCTTCCCTATGTCAGTTGGCTGCATTGCAAACTTGTCATCGATACTCTTTTAGCACTGGAATGAAACAGATTTGCTCCATATGTCTCATCCCATACGTTGCCACAATATCTGATTTAGCTGTGCCCATGGTCCTGTGATTCCTGTGTCAGTGCAGTAAGAGCCAGTAAATTGAAAGCACTTGGCAACAGCAGGAATTATTCCCCCCTGAAGATATTGCATTATATTCCCTGGCAAAAGAGAACATCTAATGGAGTACAGATGATGTGAATTAATCTTTGAATAAGCACTTAATTTGCTGGCCAAGTTCTGATTGCCTTTTTTGTAGTATTCTCAGAATGAACATAAAAAGATTACAAGATTTGTGAATGCAATCAGACCCCTGGAAACACTGGCAGTTGGTTCAGTTTTGGCATTATTTTTTCTGAGCAATTAAAAACACTTACAGAGACTCAGAACACTAGCATCAAATAGTGGAGTTCTACCAGAGTAAGATTTAGAATTGTTTCAACTCACAGCAGCCACTAGACATAGATGCAGAGGGAAATGATCCTATGGAGAGATTGCCTATGAAAAAATCCTTTTATTTTTGCAAGGGATCCTAGAATTGAGCAGTTTGGCCCATCTTCAAATAAATGGATTAAAGTAACTGAGATATAGGGCATTTAAATTAATCCATCCTCATGGGAATAGACTAAAAAAGAGAGCACAGTACAACTGTATACAATGATTTTCATACAAACCTCTTTCCAGAATCAGTTAGAGGGCAGCAGAGAATATACGATGGTAATTACAGAAAACTATGGTTAAAAGAACATTGAAGATATTTGACTATTCACAAACCAATTAATGAAATGAAAGGGAAATTAAGACGCACAGGCTAAGGAGATTTTTTTTTCCTTGAGAGGCAGGGTAGCCTTGCAGTCAAGACACTGGACGGGGACTCAGGAAATATAGGTTCAATTCTGGCATCTGCCACAGACTTCCCTGTGTGCCCTTAAGCAAATCATTTAATTTCTCTATGCTGCAATTCCCCATTTGTAAAATGAGGATAATAACGCTTCCATCTGCCACCATGTATATTTAGACAAAAGTCTTTGTGGATGGGGCCATCTCTTACTATGGGTACCTCTGAACTGTAGCTGGAGATGTAAGGTACAGCATGAATCTATGTGTACACACTAACTTTGATCAAGCTAACATGAGAAAAATAGTAGCAGCAGCAGCAGCAACATGGGTGGTGGTGGAGGCTAACCGCCCAAGGACATCCCTAGGAACTCAGTTGGGATTGTAGTCAGGTGGCTAGCCTGAGCCACTGCCCATGCTGGTGTGGCTACACTGCTTTTTTTAGCATGCTAGCTTAATCAAAGTGAGGGCATGTACATCTACCTGACTAGAAATTACATTCCTAGTTGCTGTGTAGACTCTCTGTATGGTGCTCAACCAATTGGGGCTCCAATCTTGGTTGTGGCCTCTAAGCGTTACCCAAATACAAATAATAAAGTCCAGATGATTTTTGAAAGAACAGTCAATAAGGTAGAAAGGTGCCATATACAGGAATGCAGTCCCAAACAACGGAAACGGCACCAAGGAGATTCTTCTACCAGCAGTGTGGAGATTTTGTGTAGTGAGAGCAAGAAGGTGGGTGCTGGGTGGCCATAGAGAATGGGAAGAGCGAGAGATGAGGCCTAGGAGCTAAGACTAATCAAAAATGTAAAGGCCCAGGTAACAATTTGGAACTGGTTCCCAAAATGAACAGGGAGCCGGCTAAGATGGTTAAGGATGGGCTTGAAGCAGTCAGACCCCTTTGTATGGGTGAGAATACGTAGAGCAGCGTTCTGCACTGAGAGTCTAGAGAGTGAAGGGCCTGCAGCACTCCAAGGTGAGAGGAGATTGTGGCCTAGATGAACAGAGGGAGGGTCAAGGCATTGGCATTCACAGCACAGGTGGTGACAGGAAGATTTACAGACTGAGCAGTTGTGGGAGGAGAATGAGAGTACAAGGTGAAAGATGATGCTGGAGTTGAGAACAATTGGGGCAAAGGGACGATTTGGATGGAGGATGGGGAGGAGTGGAACTATGTTTGAGGATGCTCCTTTCACCCCTCTGGTCTTTTTTGGGGCACCCTTATAAGATATGCTACAATGATTTTCTTCAAAGCTCTGCTTGCCAGGCTTTCAGTCACACGTGTACGTGATTATGGGAGGAGGATTTTTTTCTCCTCATCACCTCTTCTATGTTTGTCCCTTTAAATCTCCCTGTGCAATTAGCCCTTTAACAGAAGAATGCTTTAGTAGCTTGCTCATATTGTTAGCCACCAAAACTGAACCTCTGATGGAGGTGCTTGCTGGGTCTGGCTTCGAATATCCCCAGACCTGATTTTGTCCTGACACTTTATATGGAGCAGCTGACGGAAAGGACAGGAATCGAAAACGTCAATCATATTCTTCAGCCTTCCTCAGCACTGATATTTCCTTTACATACAACCAAGTTGGTATAACCGTGATTCTATAGATCCGTGGCTTCGTAGCAAGGTGTAGGTCACAACGTCCCAGAGAGGGTCCCTGAAGGGTCCAAATCATGGCAGCAGCTGCTGCTATACAAGTATCCACGTCTTTCAAGCATCCTCCAGCACTGTCTGACACTGCCCAAATATTTGACAGCTGCCACCTGTGTGGATAGAAGAATATTGAGCTGGTTGTAATCTGGAGCTGGAGGTTGTTCGGTGGTAATGGCTAGAGACTTAGTTTTGTCTGGATTAATAATCAGACCAATGCATGCTGCTTCTTGCCTGACCCTGTATAGCCATCAGCTACAGTGATTCACCAAACTGAGCCAATAAGACAATGGGATTAACATATTCAAGATCTGAAAGCAGAACGGTTTTCAGCTAAGTGCCATCAATGGCTGCCTCCTCAAGCTTACCCATCAATCAGTCAATACTGATAATGAATAAAGATGGTGACAGAACACAGCCTTACTGAACTCACATGGAGACAGGAAACTGGTTTTCTTGGTACAGACATATTAGATTCAGCGGCTTTCTTGATATGGAGATATTATAAGAATGGAAGACCTACGAATTCTGAAGCACATGTACCAAGGAATGCCACAACACAGCCAGCAATCACCTGGGCACCAATAGCTTCACTGGTGTGACAAGATTGCCAGGTATTGACATAAACTGAATATCCAATCAGACCACCTTAAGTACCTTGCCAGAATCAGTACTTGGTCCTGCTAGTGAAGGCAGGGGGCTGGACTCAATGACCTTTCAAGGTGCCTTCCAGTTCTAGGAGATAAGATATCTCCATATATTATTATAATCAATCTGGGTGTGATTCAATTTGCAAGGAGGCCACATCCCTTTGTGAATTTGCCATGGTGGTGGAGATCAGTATTGCCAGAAAATCTGCCCATTTACCACACCCACACCACTGGTTTAGTCACCTTCATCTTTTCCTAGTGCTTTCCTACTCACCGTGGCTCTGTAACTCTCATGTAATTCCATCACTAGGAGGTGAAGGACATGATTGCTAAAGCATGGGATGGGGAGTCAGGAGACCTGGATCTTATTTCTGGCTCTGCCAATGACTCTCTAAGATTGGGGGGAAGTTACTTAATTTCCCCGAGCCTCAGTTTCCCCATGTGTAAAATAGGAGAACAACCTTTACCTATGTCATAAGGGTGCTGTAAGGCTTAATTCCTTAATGGTTGTAATGTGTTTTGAGATCCCTCAGCGGAAGATATTAGAGAGAGGAAATGTATTACTTATTTAATATCAGTGTTCAGACACTCAGTAGTTTCTAAGAGGGTCTTCGAAATATAATATTGATCTCCATGTGATATGGGGCGGGGTGTGCTATGCATGGGCCTATGCATCCTCTTTTACAATAAGCTTTTTTTCCCCCAGTTAAACCACCTGTGACAGAATCAGAGGGCCTTTTGTCTTTCAGAGCTGTCACTATGACTCAGAGCAAACTGAAACAAGTTCTCACCACTAAAGTTAGGTGTCCTGTTACAGATTTCCTCCTTTCATAGGTTGCCACTCAAGTGTAATAACAGGTAGGTCTAGACACAGGGCAATTCAATTCGTAGCAGAATACAAAGAATAGAGAAAAGAGCAATGGATCCTGCAGCCAGGGCCAATAAAAGGTAATACATTTATGCTGGCATAAAACCCAGAGTATGACTGGCCTGATTTTCAGGGATGCTGAGTGTGACAGCGCCCCCCATAAGGTTTTATGGAAACATGCTTATGAATATATATGACATAACTGGAATATGTTCTGTGCTACATATGCCATGTAACATATCTACTGAATCTATTAATCCTATTTGTATGCACATATCATTTTTGTACTCAAAGTTATGAATATTGGCCATGTACTGGCTTGATTTCTAAATAACCTTAGTAGAGCGTTTGGTCAGTTCTTGGAGAAAGACATTCGCAAAGTTAAGTGCCCAATCAGGAAGCACTTAAGGAACAATGCATCTTGGAATGCTCCAATCCACAGAAGAAGTCTTCCTGGAGACATTCAAGATACCATGTGGGCAATGGCTTCTGCCTGTAAAAACTGTGAGTCATTCATGGACATGTGACTTGCCCAGGTGACTCCAAAACTCCATTTTGTAGCTGGCGAGAGGAGGGGTTCTCCACCCACAAGAGAAAGTCCATTTAAGCCCAGGGGAGACCCCTCCATTTTGTCTTCAGCTGGCTAAAGAGAGAGCCTCTCCACCCCCAAAGATGCCTGAAAGAAACTGGAACAAAGGACAGTGACTGCAAGGGGTGTGAGTGATTGCTGGACCCAGACTAAAAGGAGATTAGTCTGTAAAAGGAAGCATTCTGGAACTGGTGAGGATTTTATCTGTATTCAGTTGGATTAGACATAGACTGGCGTATTTTATTTTATTTTACTTGGTAATTCACTTTGTTCTGTCTCTCACTACTTGGAACCACTTAAATCCTGCTTTCTGTATTTAATAAAATCACTTTTTACATATTAATTAACTCAGAGTATGTATTAATACCTAGGGGGGGGGCAAACAGCTGTGCATATCTCTCTATCAGTGTTATAGAGGGCGAACAATTTATGAGTTTACCCTGTATAAGCTTTATACAGGGTAAAACGGATTTATTTGGGTTTTAGACCCCACTGGGTGTTGGGTATCTGAGTGTTAAAGACAGGAACACTTCTGTGAGCTGCTTTCAGGTAAACCTGCAGCTTTGGGGTAAGTAATTCAGACCCTGGGTCTGCGTTGGAGCAGACGGGAGTGTCTGGCTCAGCAAGACAGGGTGCTGGGGTCCCGAGCTGGCAGGGAAAGCAGGGGCAGAAGTAGTCTTGGCACATCACTTGGCAGTTCCCAAGGGGGTTTCTGTGATTCAACCTGTCATACTGAGTGTCACAGTTTCAGGGTTAACTGTGCCTTTGAGCCCCCTTTTGGTCTTCCTGGAGAGGGCGCCCACTTATGGCTTCAGGCTCCCAGTCTTCACCTCTCTTGGGCAGAATCCTGTGTCTCTCTGCCTTCAGACAGGGAGGGGGGGGGGGGGGGAAGGAGAGGAGGGTAGTTAGGCTTGCAGTCCCTCTGCACCTCACTGTGATTTCCCCAGCAGGTCTGACCAGGGCCCAGCACCTGGGGCTATGATTGTGCATACCAGTTACCAAGCAGTCTTCACAAAGCAAAATATATTTATTCTTAGGACAAAAGCATTACAGAGAAAACATACAAACCACAATAAAAGTCCCTATTGCTAAAGGCTTACCAGCAGTCACCCCCAACTCCAGCATAAGGCTCTCGTAGGTGTCACTCTTTCAAACCCCTCAGCTGGGCTTGCTCTCCTGGTTACCAGTTTATCAGGTTTCTTATCAAGAACCAGAACCCCACTGGGACAATTCAGCCATTTATACAGTTTGGGCCTTTGATCTCTGACCTCCTGTAACAGGTAATCACTATTCAATGAGTCAATTCCCTCCTCAGGGGTAAACGTTGAAAGGCTGTTTTTTTCCACGAAAGCTTATGCCCAAATAAATTTGTTAGTCTCTAAGGTGCCACAAGGACTCCTTGTTGTTTTTTCCATAAAGGCGCTGGAGAATTTGCATGAAGCACCCCCTAGTGGTTCCAGATTCCGCAGGAAACCCACCCCCGGTGAACCAAGATCACACAAATACACAAACGGGTGTCTGTATTTTACAGCTCACACTGTCTGACCTATCTCAATATAATGGCTTTTGGGGGTTTCCTCTTCTAAACACAAAACATAGTATAGTCCCCAAAGATGTGCATGTGGTTACAATATCTGTCACATCTCCCCCTTATTAGCAAGGAGGGCTTTCCAGCACCCAAGAGGGGCCCACTGACTTATTTCCTGGACAGGCCACCAGTGACCAAATTTGCATTCCTTTTGACATATAGCATTTCCCTATCATAAGCCTGGGGCCATCTTAGCAACCTGGTATTTGCCTCTTTCCTTTGATGCAACCAGGTGAATGTGACTATATACAGTGAAATGACACCCAAAAAGATAGGGCTGTAATTTCCTAGGGCCAACACCATTGCCAAATATTCATTTGCAATTGTTGCATAGTTTGTCTCTGGGGGAAGCATTTTCTTGCTCAGATACACTCTGGGATGTGTCTCCCCCTTTTCATCGCTTTGCCTCAGCACAATCCAACCCCCTTGTCAGAGGCACAGGTGAAAACCATAAAAGGTTTGTCACAGGCCGTGCTTACTAGAACTGGGTCTGTATTCAGGGCTTCCTTCAGTTCACGGATTGCTTGTTGACACTCTTGGGACCCGATGACCTTGGCTGGCTTACCCTTTTTTACATAGATCAGTGATGAGAGCAGTCAGGGTATTAAAGCGAGGGATGAATCTCCAGTAATACCTTGTCATCCCAGTAAAAGATTGTACCTGTTTTCTGGGGAGGGGGCCAGTTCTTAATCGCCTCCACTTCCGCAGGCTTTGGTTTTATGCAGCCCCTCCCCACTCCGTGGCCAAGATAACCCACTTCTCTCTCTCTCTCTCTCTCTCTCTCTCTCTCTCACACACACACACACACACACACACACACACACACACACACACACACACACACACACACACACACACACACACACACACACACACACAC